GCCTTGACATTGCTTGCACCTACGTGAAACATAAAAAAAAGTAAATTAGATTTTTGTGAGCTAGGAAAGTAAAAAATGCATGTTGCCGCCTATGTTGTGTTTGCAAGTGATCTAGGAATGAATCCAAATCATAACATAAACATGATATAAGTTAAGTATATGTAATACCCCAAAAACTTAGACAATGACCAAAATGAAAATTTTGAAAGTTTGATGGTCAAAGTTAAAACTTGGGAAACGTTTAGGGAATTAAGTGATAAATTTCCTAAAAAGATTTTTATTCCATAAATATATGGTTTACTCTTGAGATTGGAGTTTTATGGAAATCATATTGTTGGATTTGGAATTTAGTAAAGAAAGAGTTAAAGCCGGTAAGGAATCGGTAAATTCTGATCGAATCGGAATTTTACAAAAATTTGAAGGATGTTATAAAATGGTTGGAAATATTATTTTTTTAATATTTTATATCAGAGAAATTTGGTCTGAAAATGTGCAAATTTTCAGATTTAACCGAAACTGTGAAATTTAGTGACTAAAACGCAAGTTTTGAAAATTTCAGGTCATTTTCGTAGGTCAAAGTCAAATTAAATTATATTTGACTTTGTAATATCAGATGGCTTGGTTTTATGGTGATTTTGGAGATTCATTAAGGGTGATTTGGTCTTATCCTAATTAAATGAATTTTATATTCATTTAAAGTGAGATATTATGTTAATTAAGATGAAATGCACTCAAAATGTCATCTAAATTTACTATCTTTTTCTCCAAAACAGACGTGGTCTTCTCCTAAGGTAAGAGCAAGCCTTAACTCATTTTCAAGCCATTTCTTTAGGATTATGAGTATGATGAAAATAGAAAATGGTTATTTGCGAAAAACGCTATCATTTGGTACCAATATTGCATGATTATCTTGCTTGATTTCAAAATCCCCAAATCTGGAAATTTGGGTGTATACTATGGTTGTTGAAATTGATGATGATTATTGATGATTTTGAGGCTGTATGAATTGATGAAGAACATAAGGATGAGGTTAAAGAAAAACAGTTTAGATTTTGGGAATTACAGTAGGTTCGAAAATTCACCAAAAAATATATAAAAATAATTTGGAGGTGAATTTTATATAATTGTGTTCATATATGGATCTAGTTTTGTTTAAAATAAACGGGGATCAATTTCAAGTTGTATACAAATATATATGAATGTTTAACTGAGGAAATGTCAGAAAAGTCGGACAGCAGAATTCTGTACAAAACAGATTCTGTTGGTAAACTTTGAAAATTCACCATAAATTGTACAGAATGAATTAGAAGAAGTTCTTTATATGGATAGATTCTTATTCGAGTCTAGTTTTTAACGGAAGAAACGAAATTAAATTCCAGTGTGTGTATCAATACAGTTTAATGATTCTTTAAGGGTAGTACGAGTTGTCTGAATTCTGGAAAATTGATGGGTTATTGTATAAGTGTTGTATAATTGATGTACTATGCTGGAATTGTTGTTTGAGAATTGAAAGAGAGTGTTAAATGTGAAATTGACTATTTTGGGAAGATTGAAATGATTGGTGATTTAAGTACAACAATTGCATAGTTGGGGTACTTAAATGTATTTATGCTTTTGTAAAAGCTTTGAATGGAAAAATTCAATGTTGGAATTATTGGCATTAAGAATTTAAGTGGTAAAATGGTGAAGACCATTTTGAGTAAATGAGAAAAGTTGGTTCCAATGTTATAAGGAATTATTAAGAGTAAATATTTTGATAGATGATGAATTTCAAATATAGTATGGAGATATGGTGGAATGTATTTATGTTAGTAAAATACTAACATATGGATTATTATGAATTGATGATTTATACAGATTGTGATTGATTTGTAATCGAAGCAAATCAAATATAAAAGGGCTTATGGTGGACAATAGTGAGGCTTATATATTTTGAAAGACATAAAGTGTCAAGGTGAGTGCAATACATGCATGAAATTATACATGGATGTTTTATACATCATAAGGAAGACTTGCGATAAGTCGACCTTGTTTATATCGGCATGATTTTATATCATTTTTATAAATTGGCATTGATATGTCAGAGTATGAAACTAAAATGCATTGATCATGAAAATGTGATATTTTACCATGAATGTTTTCGGGTATGAACTGCCCAATGTTAAATATTGATGATATACTTTTCCATGGATGGATCGAATAAAATAGACTATATGCCCAAAGTAAGTCATTGAGGGACAGGATATAGTTGGCATGCCATAGAGTATAGCAGCTGCAGGTTTATATTAGCACTATAGTGTGTAAGGACACTAAGTGCAGGTTTATATCCGGATTAGCACTATAGCGTAAGCTTAGTGTAGGTGGTGGGCACGACCTTATGTGTATTGTCCGGATTAGCACTATGGCGTAAGCTTAGTGCAGGTTTAGCACTACGGTGCAGGTATTTTACTCGTATACCCAGGGTCCTCAGGGTGTTATATTGGGCTATTGTCTACGGTTTATTGACTATGGATTATGTTTTATTGGTTAATAATAGTAACCATGCAAATAAGCTTATGAGCTTACGGAATAATGGCAAGTATATTGAAAAAAAATAAGCTTACGAGCTTATGGAATTTTAAATGGTAAGTATTTTGGTAAAAAATAAGCTTATGAGCTTATGGGATAAAAGGTAAGAAATTTATATTATATTGATCATGGTAAATATTGAGGATGCTATTAGCATGGTTTTATGGCATTGGATTTGAAATCTAAATTCATGCATGAATTGTATTGCACTATATATTGTTTTAATTGCCTCACTAAGTTTATACTTAGCGTGTGATGATTTTCACGCGTAGGTAAAAAGCAAAGAATAAGAATAAAGAGTTCAGAACGACATCAAGCATCGAGAGTATTTCAATATCAGTAAGACATCCTATTGTGAAATTTGATTTTAGATAGTGGCATGTAATTTGGAAATGTTTAATTTAATTATTGAGTAAATTTTTGGGAATTTTTATAGTGATGAAAGGTTAATTTTTATGAGTTTTATATGTAAATTTTCGGAAGTTACTGTAGCATGAACAGTAACCCCGTTTTAAACCAAAATTTTCAGTATGAAAAAGGGGTACCGATTCCCCTGCTACAGGGAATCGATTCCCCTGCTACAGGGAATCAATTCCCCCACTGTTCACTATTCGGGTACTTTTCACTATTCATAATTAAAAATATTTTGAATTAAATTGGTTACAACGAAACATAATTTTTATGATATGATAATTTTATATTATCATTTACTATTTTAAGAAAATAAATTTTAAATTACTTTCGAATCGTAAAATGATTTTAGAAAATACGGGTGACATCCGTAATCTGTATAGGTATAAATATACGGGTTACGGGTGTTACAGTATAAAGATGTGGAGCTAATAACATGCTATATAACTTAAGTGATATACAATATATGAAGTCTAAAGTATATGAACATTAATCCTAACATAAGATGCACATAATAAAGTAGGGTAACATGAAAATATTTGATGAACATATTATCTTATAAATGTAGAGATGAATGATATAGTACAAGTATACATGAAATAAGTAAGATAGAAATATGAGGGGTATCTAGAAGCTCCCTTGACTTTCATACTTGTGAAACAAGATGAAAGTATGAAGAATATCAGTAAGTGCATGAGTAGGATTGTATCACATTGGTTTTGGTGTCTATCGCTCCTTACCGCGTGGCATTGATCGAGTTGAAAGAGCTTAAAGCCCAAATTCAAGAGTTGCTAGAGTGAGGCTTCATTCGGCCGAGAATTTCACTGTGGGGGAACATCAGTGTTATTTGTGAAAATGAATGATGGGTCGATGAGATTGTGTATCGACTATCGGCAATTGAATAAGTTGACGATCAAGAAACGATATCCATTCCCAAGGATCGATGATCTTTTTAACTAACTTAGAGGAGCGAGAGTATTCTTTAAGATAGACTTGAGATAGAGAAACTACAAATTAAAGGTTAAGGAGAATGATACAGCCAAAACGACATTTAGAACCTGATATGGTCATTACAAGTTTCTAGTAATACCGTTTGGGCTTACCAATGCGTCGACATCATTTATGGTTTAAGTGAACCAAGTCTTCCATCCTTACTTAGATCAATTCATAGTGGTGTTCATCGAAGACATCTTAGTTTAATCGTGATCAAAGGAAGATCATGACAGCTATATCAGTATTGTTCTCCAAACGCTCGAGGAGCACCAAATGTATACAAAGTTCAATAAGTGTGAGTTTTGGCTATATGAGGTGTCCTTCCTAAGCCATGTAGTGGTTATGGATGGTATTCGAGTATACCCACAAAAGATTCAGGTTGTGGTTGAATGGGAATCACCGTGGAATATATCTCAAGTGTGAAGCTTCCATGGGCTAGTTGGATACTATCATCGCTTTGTCAAGAGAATCTCCATGATCGTTGTGAAATCGAAATATAAGTAAATAAAATGAAAATAGGAAATAGTTACGTGGTCATCTAGGTAAATTACCCAATCTTTTATGTTTGTTACCCTTTTGTCGGCAATTCTCGGGGCTCTCCACCTAGAATGGATAAAAAGTAAAGAAATGGAAAGAACAGACCGCGTGGACTTTTTTTACACCCCACAATTAAAAGCCCTTTGACTTGAACAAAAGTCAACCCCGTTTTCGATATTGGAATCACGAAGTTATAGAAAGAACAAATCACAAACGATAAGGCTTTGAGATGCTCAATTTGTCAACCTCTCTCTCAACTCTCCTTTTCTTTTTTAATTTTAATTTTAATTTTAATTTAATTATTTGGTGTTCTTTTATATAGTATAATAATCGCAAAAGCCCACACCAATACAAACCACCCTACCTTCAAAACCTATCCATCAGAAGTCAGGGCCTTGTTTTGTCTTCACATTCTTCTATATTTTTTCAAAGAGCCAGCTGAAGATTTCCTTTTTCCTTTACTGAGCTTTGCGTCAGAAACAGAGAGAAAAAAGGATACAAAACTCATGGAAGTTGATTGGGATTTGCATGCGGTGGTGAGAGGCTGCGCCACCGTCACAACCAGCAGCAGTGGTGGTGCCGCAGACAGTTCTTTCATGGCGGATTTGCATCCTCAATCCGGGTTTTCACCTTTTCAGGGTCAAATCTTGTCTTTCCCAAATCAGTTGGAAGCAAAAAATGGTATGGAGGAACTGCATGAGCTTTACAAGCCTTTCTTCCCCAAATCGCAGCCTCTACCCTCGCAGATGAAACTAAAACAACAGCAAGAACATAAGAATAAGCATTCTCAAACTGTCTCTGTTACAAGCGTTGTTACAAAAGCTAGTAGCACTTGTAGGATTCCCAGTTCTTATAATTCTCGATCTAAAAGAAGGTAAATTTCAGTATTAAAACTTGTTATTCTCAAATAACCATAGTTGGATCTGTTGTCGATTATATTGAAAGTTATTGCTACTTTCCTGTTCAACAGAAAGAATCAGCTGAAAAGGGTTTGCCAAGTTCCGGCAGAGGGTCTATCTTCAGATGTGTGGGCATGGAGAAAATATGGTCAAAAACCCATCAAAGGCTCTCCTTATCCAAGGTAAACCATGTGGTTTTGTCTATTTAATTTGATCACAATAATAAAGATAGGTTTTTGTTTCTGCATTCAACTAATTCTTTTGGTTTGTATAACAGGGGCTATTACAAATGTAGCAGCTCAAAGGGGTGTTTGGCTCGGAAACAAGTGGAACGGCACAGATCCGACCCCAATCTCTTCATTGTCACGTACACCGGTGAACACAGCCACCCTGCTCCGACGCACAGGAATTCACTCGCCGGCAGCACCCGCCAGAAGTCTTTCGTTCCACAAACGGACGCCGCCGGTGACTCGATCAAATCTTCCTCTGTTAAACCCGCCAACAGTTCGTCTCCGGCGACCTCCGTCACCGTGGATGAAGGGGTTGTGGTTCAAAGTACAAAGGTGGGCAGCATAGAGGATTTGGTCGAGGATGAAAGGGACGATGAGTTTGGGATGGACACGGCAGTGAGTGATGATTTCTTCGAGGGTTTGGAAGGAATCGCTGAAATGGTCGCCGGAGATTGTTGTGCCGATAATTTCCCTGCAAGTTTTGACCTTTCTCGGATTGCTAACAGTGCACCTACTGCCGCCGGTAGAATCTAAAACTTGCCTGGGTGTGTAATTTATTTAAAAAAAAATCATGTACTTGTCATACCCTTTTTGGTAGAATCTAAGCCAACAATGCTTTTCTTCTGTAATTTGTAGAATTCCAATAATGAGTCTTGTAGAGGAAAAAAGAGTTGGTTTCTTGTTCCTAGTTTTTAGGTAAAGTTACAGCTTTTATTTTCTTAGAATTTATGTACTATTTTTTACGGGAAATGAAGATTGGGTTTTGGGGATTATTCATGACCATCTTTTTGTATACTTCAATGGGTTATTTTACAAAAGAAACCTCAGTTATTCTCAAGAATTTAAAGATGGTACATTGAAAGCAAAAAGAAAGCAATCTTCGGAATCAATCCATCAAAACAAGGCCAAAAGAATCCTTATTATTTGCAGCTATTCAACGCACTAAAGGGGAGAAACCCTTTTTCCTTGTACGAAGCTTTCTAATTTTTTTGATCCATCAACACTAGAAAGCAGCTCCCTGAGAATCTCCATGGTTATACAATCTGGATTGCAAGCATTCTCAATCATACCGTCCATCAACCCATATGCATTTTCCAACAAATTGTTCTTTTTAAGGCCTTTGAGCACTGCATTGTATGTGGTGGTATTAGGCTTCACCCTTTTTGCTTTCATATCATCCATCAGAGAGAGCGCACCTTTGATGTCATTGTTCTTGCATAGAGATTCTATAAGACTGGTATATACCAGTGTGTTTGGTGGAACCTTTGACAGGGAACTCATGTCGTTGAAGAGCTTTGTTGCATCCTCGATCTTTCCATTCGAGCAGTATGCTTGAATAAGGGCTCCGTACGTGGCAGTAGTAGGGATTACACCTTGGTTAATCATCTGTTTCATCACCTCGCCGGCAATTTCAAAATCCTCAGTTTTGCAAAAATAAGTAATCAAAGAGTTATACGAGACGCTATCAGGCTTCATCCCTGCTTCCAGCATTTCCTTCATAATATCATAAGCTTATTTACCATGTTTTACTTAATGAACCCGCTAACAAGCGAATTGTAGCATACAATGTCGGGGCCGAACTCAGCTTCTTTCAGCTTCGACTAAACATTGCTGGCATCATCCATCCTTCCAGCTTTGCACAAACCAGAGATCAAGCTGTAACAAACCTTAGGATGCAGAGAGCATCCACTCGATAACATTTGATCAAACAGATCAACTGCCTTAGCAATATTGTCGATATTCCTGATAGCTCTATCAATGCCCCAGAGGCGATCAAGTAAATCTTTTTATGGGTTCCAATATGTCCAAATATTGAGGTGTTCCAGACCTCGACCTTCAGTTTGAAACCCTCAATGTTGGATAAAATATCCTTATTATTATCCCAAGAGCTGGACACTAAATCGGAGAAACAATTATGCTCTTGCCAAGCAACGAGAAAATGAAAAGGTCTATCTGAATCACTGTTGTTTACAGTTGGTTCATGAAAAGGAAGAGGGCAATGATCAGATCCCACATGGTCTAAGTGAGTGAAAATGGACAAGGGAAAAAATGAGCCCAACCATCATTAATGAGGCATCTGTCCAATCACTTCCATAATCTCCCTCATTTCCGTGTGAAATGGCTCCCTTGAAATCAGCTTCCATGAGTTCCACAGCATTAATAAAACTACAAAAAAAGATTACTAATTCCATTACCTTGAGTAAGACTACCAAAAGTTTCTTCGCTCCTGATAGTTAAGTTAAAATCACCCCAACATCCATGCCTCATTATTATCAGGACTCAGATGAGGGAGAAGATCCCAGATTGCACGACGCTTAGTAACATTTTGGCTAGCATAAACGGTCGTAAAAAACCCCAATGATAGACCCCTTCATCCCAAACATGGCCATGCATAAATTGAGTAGAAATTCGTAGAATATCAACATGTATCGGGTCTAACAACAACACCCAAATGCCTCCGTCAAAACCATTTGCCTCCACTCGAAAGGAGTTTTGATAACCCAGTCTTGAGATTACTCTATCGGTATTATCCCTGCTAATCCGAGGTTCGAACAAAGTCACCACTTGTGGTTTATGTTGCTGACAAAAAATTATAAAATAACACCTAAACACGAAACTAGCAGCTGCTTAACAGTTCTAAAAAATAAAAATAATTATTAGAAGGAATGAAAAATGGCAACTACCCCTTACTGGTTCAACGAGATGGTCGATCCATCCTGAATCTGTATATTAATCGAGGTCTCCATAATGATCAGCTTGGAGTTGTTATCAACAACCATGTCTAAAATATTATAGAGGATAACTGTCGACCCTTCACCTACTTTTGAATAAGAAGGTCCTCTCGGTTCCTGGATCATGACAGTGTGATCAAACCTTTTTTTCAATTGAGTGGAACCAATCAGCAAGTATTTGTCAAGGTGGGGCACGTGACTCAATAGCCTTCTTCATTTTAAGTCCTCTACGTTTAACATTTTCTCCGACTTTCAAATTTCCTCCCACTTTACCAACCCATGCATAGATTTCTAGTCAAAAACTCATGGTTACTGATTATAAGAGCCTTTGTGTTATCCGATAATTAGACAGCATGTACATCTGAATTAGTATTCTCCTCAGAAAATGACATCTAGTTACTTTAAGACATCATCTTCTTAATATTAATAAATAAATAAATATTAATAAGAATATGATAATTTTTCCTAAGAAAATCATATTAAAATAATTTATATAAAGCTAAAGTAAATATATATTATTTTTTTTATAATTAAGGTATTTATTTATTTAAAAATATCAGAAAAGGACATCTAGTTATTTTAAGACAATCCCTTCTTAATATAAAAAAATAAATAAATATTATCCTTTAACTCAAATTATGAATAGGTCAATTTATAACTAAAATATAAAATTATAAGATTAAATTAAAAAGTAATAAAATTTATAGTCGAAAAATAAAAATTATTTAAAACATCAGGGATTAAAATATAAAATATCGAAGTTAAAGATCCTAATTCGACATATAATGAGATATAAGGATTAACAGTGTAATTTAACAATAATTAATTATTCAGGGTTAAAATATAAATTATTAAAATTAAAAGGACTAAATATGGTATTTATCCTAAATATTTAAACATATATAAGCAGTGACTAAATTATAATTAAATAAAATACGAAAATAAAATTAAAATATGCAAAAATCTGATTCGAATAACCAAAATAGAAGTTTATAAAATCAAAGGAATTGCGCGTGTGGTTTGCCCATTCCGAATTACATAGAGGTCTCTCCCCAAAACAACATCGTTTGGGGAGGGATATAAATACCCTTAACCCAACCGAAAAGGCTTTAAGCCTTTCATTTTTCTATTTTGCTTTTCTTTCTAAAGAGAGAGAAGCTCTCGATTTTCTCTTAAATTCCTCACCGAAGGGAAAGCCAGAGACCCAAAATTTGTCCCTAATCGACCATTGGCCTCCCTTTTTCTCAAATCTGGCCTCCCTTTTACTTAAAAACCTCTATAACAAGTAAGTTTTTCCTTTCTTTTTATGTTCGTATTTTGCTCTGTGTTTCTGTTGGTTGCTTGCTCTCTGTGTGGGTTTTGCTCTCTCCTCTGTCTTCGTCCCTTTCTCTCTTTCGTAGGTGATGGCTTTTATAGGCCATGGAGGTACGCCCTTCGGACTTGTTCTAAGGGTGGCTTTTGGTGAGTCACCGAACTATAGTGGTGACTCACCCTAGAGCATTGACGTGTGCGGCCAGTGGTGCTTTTGGAGGCATGACAGCAGCTGGCTGAGGCACCTGGCAGTGGAGGCGTCGGCTGGAAGCTTCAACAAGACCCTAGATTAATTCGGGCCTGTTGGGTCGGGTCTCTACCTGGTTGTCTGGACCAGGTCTGGCCTGGTTAAAATTGTAATCAGGCCTCTGGGTTGTAATTGGGCCTATATATTATTATTAATAATAATATAATAATTATATTAATATTAAAAATAATAAATAAAAAAAAAATAAACATGGGACAAAAACTTAGTGTCTACAACTATCCCTCTTTGCTCATTCTTGTGTTAACAAGAATAGGGCAAAGACGAAAAGACAATAAGTTTTTGTCCATTTGATTTCTCTTGATTAAGACGGAGTTGTTGAACCCTCAAGTGATGGATTCAAATCTTTGCTGAAATCCATATTTTCAAAGCTTGAAAAGTATGGTAATTCTTTGCTGAAATCTTTGATAATCTCTGGAATTCCTGTCAAATATTCAATATCTGGATAAAAATAAAATGAATGCAAATAAATTTGTTTAAAGAGGAACTATCTCAGGTGAGATATAATTTGCTTTGAGAGACGTCGTTGATTCGAAATATCGTGAATCAAGCAACGGAAATATTGAAAACATTCTACCCGAAGGTCTTATGAATGTCCTGGAGGTTTTATCATCTTGTTCGAAAGGCCTACAGATGACCCGGAGGATTTAAACATCAAGAAAACCTTGAAAATCAAGCTTAGCTTTCTTTAACAACTCTTTTGAGATAATTAAGAAACCCCTGGAAGGATTAGTTTCCAAAATCTCATTTGGAAAACATCCTGCCCGGAGGTCTTATGGATGGCCCGGAGGTCTTATCATCTTCTCGGAAGGCTTACAAATGACTTGGAGGATTTAAACATTAAGAAACCCTTAAAAATTAAGCTTAGTTTCTTGGTTGTCAAGGAACCCCTTAAAAGGCTTAGCTTTCTTTAACAACTCTTTTGAGATAATTAAGAAATCCCTGAAAGGATTAGTTTCCAAAATCTCATTTGAAAACTTCTTGCCTGGAGGTCTTATTGATGGCCCGGAGGTCTTATCATCTTGCTCGAAAGACTTACAAATGACCCGAATGATTTAAATTAGGGAAATAGTTTACTAAGTAAGAAACTTTGGAAATCACTTTCTTACTATTCAACAATTTCATTTTCAGAAAAGATTAAATGAGAAACTTTGGAAATCATTTTCTCATTTTGTGAAATAACTTTGTTAACATGCCCCACTTTAAAATAATGCTTCTTTTGCGGATTGCGACCATCTATTCTTCAAATGTTTGCTTTTCCTGAAGTGATTCCTGCATTTGAGGTTTGAATTCTACCTTCCACTTATAAGGTATTTTCCATCATGAATATTATTTTTTCATATAAAAACCTTGTGTTTGAATGCAAATTAAATGTGTCCATGTAATACATTTTCTTTTATGCAAATGATGTTCTTATGAATGTATGAATGTTGAGTCCATACTTATTTGACTTCAAAGTGGTGAATTTGATCTTCTTCCACTTGATCATTCTTTTTCAGGGTTTTCTTCATATATTAGTGTAGCAACTTATGCTATCAAGCTTGCATTTCTGAAGAACCAACTGATCAACTTGCATCTTTGTGTCTTCTTCATTTTCATTAAAGTCTTAGAAGAAAATATTTCATTTATGGAAATCTTGCCGTAATCAGAATTATGACCTTGATTCCCCCATTTTGTCTTTGATAAAACCAGCTTTCTTAGCTTGAACTTGTGCAGAAATCTAATAAAGCTTTCATCTTTGAAAAGAAAATCTGTCATCTTTGAAGAATGTAGATGTAGATATGCCACAATCATCAGAGATTAATTAGGAGAGCAGAATATGTTCGGTATTTGACTCTTGAAACACATCACAAGGAGGATTTATCCTAATTCCTTTCATGTCTCCATATTTAATTGGATCTCGAACAAGCCATTCAGACCATATCTTGTCGAGCTGCTTAACAACAACCTATCGCTCAACCTTAGTTGGCTCCACTAGTTTCTTGTTGTTAAAATTTCAGCTCCCCTTCTCATTTGAAATAAATCTTCATCATTTTTCACTTTTAACCTTGGGGTTGAATAAAACTTCATCTTGGGTTAATAAATTGAAATATCATGTGATCGCAACATTGGTTCAGCATTATAATCACTGGTTCATAAAACATTTGACAACACATTCATCATTTCCTGTTGCTTCTGCCCAGATTTCTCAATCATTGAACTCTTTGCATAATGTTCAGAGATTTTGTAGGATGTCACAAGGACACTTAAGAACAAAGCTTAGTTGGGAATACAAGTGGGATGCTTTAACTGCCAACATAAAATCACCAGGATAATGCAATTGTCTGATGAACAAATCAATTATGTGTAGTCAATTCGACTGTCACAGTTTCACCATTTTCATTCTTCACATCTTTCTATCTCATTGGAAATATTTGCTCTTCAAAATGCCTCAACATGAGCTT